ATTGTATAGGTGTAGTGCTAGATATATCTGACTCCTATCTCCTCCCTGCTGTCTCTCCATTCTGTCTACCTTACTCCTCACTCAGCTACAGGCACATTCCTGCCATCAGCCATCTCCTCGTTTGCCTATCCAGGTGAGCAGTGGCCCTCGCTCTGTCCATCCAACTTTCGTTGACTGCTCAGCATTTCCTTTCTTCCCTTCCCCCACTATAACACTCAAGTCTAGTTTTATTGCTAGTTAAGACAGGCTTGGCTTTCCCATTTGACTGTAAACTTAAGGGTAGAGTTTATCTTACTTACCTCTGTAGCTTTATGTACTCTGATTTCAATGCTTTTCTAGCATTTGAAATACTGGTCAGATATTTTTATTCAAGTATGTAGATGTTCACATCCATGATGTTTATTTTAGTATATTCCTCTTGAAATTAAATACCCTATTTCTGGAAGGTTACTATGTTTGTATGATAATTATCTAATTTCTTAAACATATGCAGATGATCTAACTTAAGATGTTTAAGATGGTTTGACTTACAATTTTTCAACTTTACAATGCTACAAAAGCAATATACATTCAGTATATTCAGCTGTGTACTTATATTTAATATTTCATCGTAAGTCAAGGAGCTCTGTACATCAAACTTGAGTGGAGGCAGGAGTTGCAGACGACAGAAGAGTAGACTATATTATTGTCTCGATAAATTAATTGATTTAATAACAATCAATTAACTTCAATAACTATATCTCAATATTTTTCATAAATAAAAATGTATAATTTAAATTGTATTCTAATGCAATTAAATTAAGATTGCATTAAAATATAATTTCTTTTTACTTGGTGGTATTTCTAGCCAGTTCTAGAGACTCACAATCTCTAGGTAAAAGACAGAAAGTTATCTTCAAGAGCTGCATTTTTAACTGCTTCTCTAAAGGTAGAACATCAAGAAATGTCAAGGATAACAGTTCTCAATGTTTGGTATACATTAAAATCACCTGTGGGGCTTCCAGTAGGTATAAGGTGGGGTGGGCCTGGGTATTGTTATCATTGACTGCCACACTAGAAAAGTTTTTTCCTTTGCAGTCACGGTGTTTTATTAGGAAAATAGAATAAAAACTTGAAAACAAAACAAAATGATCCTTTCTAATTTAATGAAAAATTTGTGGGAGGCTGAGGCAGGAGAATCGCTCAAGGTCAGAAGTTCGAAACTAGCCTGAGCAAGAGCGAGACCCCGTCTCTACTAAAAATAGAAAGAAATTAATTGGCCAACTAAAAATATATAGAAAAATATAGCCGGGCATGGTGGTACATACCTGTAGTCCCACCTACTCGGGAGGCTGAGGCAGGATTGCTTGAGCCCAGGAGTTTGAGGTTGCTGTGAGCTAGGCTGACGCTGCAGCACTCTAGCCCGGGCAACAGAGTGAGACTCTCTCAAAAAAAAAAAATTTGTGTTTTTAAATTGCTTTCTGTGAGTTATATGCAACTTGAAAAATAGTTCTTGCAGCTCCCCAGGTGAAGAGACGTGTGAGTTACATATGCTTCACAAGGCCCTGGGCTCAAAACTAGTGTGAGCTAAATGCAACTCACATGGCAGTTAGTGTGTTAAAAATGTTTCTGATATGTACCAAATGTTAGAACTATTAGTCTAGGATATTTCAAAAAAGGAGTACATGTACATTGTCTGTTTCAGCTACTTATTTACATAATTTCTGTAGGATTGAAACAAAGAAATGATAAACTACTGTTGCAATGGAACTGACAAAACTTTTAACTTTGAAAAAAAGTTTGTCTATCAAAATAATCCTGTGACATTATTAAGACAAATGCCATTTAAAAACAGTAGAAAAACATTTATACATAATCTATGGTTCCTTTAAAACAATCTAAAATCTAACAATATAGTAGGAATAATCTAATACAAAATTAAATTTGTTTAGGAAATTACCTTTTCAGTTAAGATCTTCTGCCTTCTAAAGACTTTCAGAAAAACTTTCTAATACTTAAATAGAACATGCATATTATGATAAATAATAGCACACCATTATGAGAAGAATGACAAGAAGGGAAACTCAGGCTTCAAGCTTTCTGTACATGTCATTTTGGAAGAGCAGATGATGGCTCAAGCCATGTCAAATTTAAAATAAGATTATTTTAGCTGAGAAGCAGATAATGTGATGAATAAAAGCATAGTCAGTCAACTTCAGCCACTCTAGTCCTATCAAATAATACTACAGGGGGCCGGGCGTGGTGGCTCACGCCTGTAATCCTAGCACTCTGGGAAGCTGAGGTGGGCAGATTGCTGGACTTCAGGAGTTTGAAACCAGCCTGAGCAAGACCGAGACCCCATCTCTACTAAAAATAGAAAGAAATTAATTGGCCAACTAATATATATATAAAAAAAAAAAGAAATTAGCTGGGCATGGTGGCGCATGCCTGTAGTCCCAGCTACTCGGGAGTCTGAGGCAGAAGGATTGCTTGAGCCCAGGAGTTTGAGGTTGCTGTGAGCTAGGCTGACGCCACAGCACTCACTCTAGCCTGGGCAACAAAGCTAGACTCTGTCTCAAAACAAAACAAAACAAAACAAAATAACACTACAAAGAATAAATTTGAAGGCTAATCTATACAAAGGCAAAGTGCTAATTATATTAGAGGCAATTTGGCAACTGTTGCCCTCATGTAATTATAACATCACTGTAGCAGCTTTTAAAATGAGATTTTGTTCATTAGATGCTTAGATTAATGAAGATGAAAATTAGGCCTGGCACAGTGTCTCGTGCCTGTAATCCTAGCACTCTGGGAAGTTGAGGTGGGATTGCTTAAAGTCAGGAGTTGGAGACCAGCCTGAGCAAGAGCAAGACCCCCTCTCCACAAAAAAATAGAAAAATCAGCCGGATGTAGTGACACATGCCTATAGTCCCAGCTACTCAGGAGGCTGAGGCAGGAGAATCACTTGAGCCTAGGTGTTTAAGGTTGCAGTGAGCTATACTGATGCAACTGCACTCTGGCCTGGGCAACAGAGAGAGGGACTCTGTCTCAAAAAAAAAAAAAAAAAAAAAAAAAAAAAGAAAAAAACTTAAACATAACCTCTCCATTTCAGCAGACTTCTTAAAGAGGCCAAGTCTTTTAATTTTCTTTAATTTCTTCACATTCCAATAAATTCCTATCAAATTCAAGCCAGAACAGATTAGCTGAACATTGTATAACTTTACAAATTTTATTTAAACCCAGTATATTACACATGCATAATTGGATTTCTTAAATAATCAAATATTAAGTTTGTATTATACAAAGATGGTACTTCAACCTTGAGTTTACTATATTAAGTCAGTCCCACTGGTGGCAGTTTATTATGAATATACTGTGCGTGCTATGAAATGGTGAAGATTTCTACAGTCTATAAGAATTAAGTGTATTTATTATGTTCTCTAATTGGTTCCTATGACTTGGACCTCAAATAGAGAAAAATCACAATTAAAGAAATCAATACCAACAAAAAACACATTAACTTTATTACAGGTGTAGTTTAAAACCAGAAAACAAATAAGCTATGACTAATGCATGGCAAAGATAAGAAATGATATCACTATGGTGTTTGATCAGCACTATAGGCACTAACTTTGTGGAACTGATAATTTCATGTCTGAAGATCAAGTAGTGAAATAAATTAATATGCAAGAAAAGTGAGATGGGAAAGAGTGACAGCAAATGTCAGGGTAATACTGAATTTTCTACATTGATTTGGAAGCAAAAGGACCACTGTCAAATTACAACATCAACTAAAAGTTGTGGTTTAATTTATAAAATGTAAAAAAAACTCAAAGTTTATAGAAAACTCAAATATAAAATATTTAATAAACTGTCTTTCTGCTAACCCAAAATGTTTACTTATAAACGGAGTTAATTTCTTAACTCTATGCAATATATCAAATTTAGAAGCCAAGTAATTTCTAGTATGCATTATGTTTATACCTAGAAAAATCTTTTTAGAATTTTTTATTTTGAAAAGTACGTAACAGGTATGAGAGGCTTATCAAAGTTTTTCAAAACTCAGTATATTTTTCATACCTCCAGTAATCTAGAAACCTAAAACATAAACTGAATTAATTTTGAAACTATCTTTGACAAGATAAAAACACCAAGTATGTATCCAAAATTCATTTTGAAAATATAGTCTCAAATAACTCAAACCAAAGGTACTGACCATTGGCATCCTCCAGAATACTGAGTTCTAAATGAATAAAAATTTACATGCAGTTTTCTAGCTTTTAAGAGAAACATTTCTTTTTCATTAGAAAAGCTGTCTCTAATGAATACAGTATTAGAGAAATAGCACAATTCTTATTCAGTCCCTAAATTTTCCCAGACAGAAACAGGAAATTTTATTTTTCCCCCTAGTTTTATGTATTGGTCTATGGGGCTTACAAATAGCAACACCCTTGGGCTGATACTATCATAAATTTTGCTTAAATTTTGAGGGGAGGAAAATAAAAAATCACACAGGTCAAAACTGAATCACATAAACTGACCGATTGTACTTCAGTAAATGAAAGGCAATTCTAAAATGCAAAATAGGAGGTACAGTGGCTCACACCTATACTCCCAGCACTTTGGGAGGCCCAGGCAGGAGGATCACTTGAGGCCAGGAGTTTAGGACCAGCCTGGGAGAGACTCCATTTCTATAAAAAGATAAAAATTTAGCTGGGTGTGGTGGCACATGCCTGTAGTCCTAGCTATTCAGGAGGCTGAAGTGGAAAGATCAATTGAGCCCAAGAGTTCAAGGCTGCAGTGAGCTATGATCCACACCACTACACTCCAGCCTGGGCAACAAAACAAGACCTCCTTTAAAAAAAAAATGCAAAATAAAAGAGAATTAAGGCAGCTGTAAAAGAAAATAAAACTTATCTACCCAAAATAGTGCTACGGTAGTATAATTCATTCCTTAAAAAGTTGTGTGTAAGTCTAGGTCTAGATATAAGAGCCAAAAATCAAAACAAGTATTGCAGTTATGATGCAGTATCAGGTGCTTTTACTTCAGTGAATGAAAAATAGTCACAACTCAAACGAATGGGAATTTAATATGAATATATGCACCTCACCAGAGATGTTTATGTTTATTACCAGGGATATCTTAGCAAGTCCATATTCCTCACAAAGTCAGTACAATTGTTGTAAAAAAATCAACTGTGGTTCTGAATACCCATTCACAGTTGACCTCAACAACGTATCTGATATAGGAGACTGATTATCTGTGACAGGCAGAAGCATGTGGTGGTCCTCAGTCCCAAGTGGAAGAGCTAGTGGTAAAGTCACATCAGAAGGCTTCACATCCATTGTTTCTGATAAAGGACTTTTTTGTATGGAATCTTGCTCACTCACAGTATGATCCTCCACACTGGAATCTAAAGTTTTATCTGCACCTAAAATAGAAGGGGAAAAATTTATATTATCTCTTAAAAACAAAACAAAATCCCTAAGGTAGATTCCCAGAACTGTACTCCAATTTCCACACCTTTACTAAACCTGTTTCTTTTTGCTGATATGCCCTCTTCATTATCTACACAAATTCAATCTGGTCCTCAAGGCTAGATTCAAGTATTAACTCCACTATAAAAATGGACTTGCTGGGCGTGGTGGCTCACGCCTGTAATCCTAGCTCTTTGGGAGGCTGAGGCAGGCGGATCGCTCAAGGTCAGGAGTTCGAGACCAGCCTGAGCAAGAGTGAGACCCCATCTCTACTAAAAATAGAAAGAAATTAATTGGCCAACTAAAAATATATAGAAAAAATAAGCCAGGCATGGTGGCGCATGCCCGTAGTGCCAGCTACTCGGGAGGCTGAGGCAGGAGGATCGCTTGAGCCCAGGAGTTTGAGGTTGCTGTGAGCTAGGCTGACGCCACAGCACTCACTCTAGCCTGGGCAACAAAGTGAGACTCTGTCTCAAAAATAAAATAAAATTAAAAAAAAATAAAAATGGACTTAATCATTCTAAGAATGAAATAGAGTGTGTTGTTTCTTATGTACTTTATCACACATTTGCCAATTTTCATCTCTCTTCTTGCTATTTAACATTATACTCAAGTATGCCTTGAATCTTCAACTAGACTATAAATTCCTTGACAGTAAACGTAAGGTTATACTTCTCTAACTCCTTCAAAGTACTGAACAGTAATATACCTTAAGAAATACTCTTAAGTCATTCATTGAATGTTTAATGTTCTTTCAATGTTTTAATGAGTAGTTCATACTATTCTGTGAGTTCAATTTCAGAAGTATGGCACTTTCATATATTTTTAGAGGTAAGAAATTCTGTTCTACTCAAGGAAGCAATTATCATACTGATGAAAGATATACTTTTGCCTTCAAATTTTCCACTAGCTTTAACATGCCTGTTAGTCCAAAGATTTCAGTTTTACTATCTTCATTAAATACAGACAAAACTGTATATTTACTTTCATAAAATTATAATTTTCTGTATTCTTACCAGACTATTCTTCAATTCAACCAGCCAAGAATACAGCCTGTGCTTTCTTGTTCCAGCGACTTTTTACAATGTTCTCTGCCTGGAATGAACCCTCCATTCCCCGTCTCCATACTTTGAACTCTTCTCTAGCCTTCAAGTGCCCTAAAATTAAGCCTTTTCTAATACCTCGGAAATATTTAATATCTTCTTTTTAGCACTTTTGCATTTATTATGTCCTACATTTTCCCTTGTAATTATTTATTTAGATTTCTGGTCTCCCACAGGAGGTTGTAAGCTCTTTGAGGACCAAGACTATGCCTTGTTCAACTTCATATTCCCCACATTTATATGTACTTTATAGGAACTTAATAAATAGCTGCTGTAATTAATGACTCACTGCAGTTTTTTGAGTTTCTAACTTAATCTCTACAATGTTTATTATATTAAACTTACTATTATCTTTATATACCAAAGAAGCCTAGTGTCATTTCTAATCATGACACAATAAAATGGTACAGTGAAATTTTCTTAAGGATTTCTTTTAACCAATGGACCCAAACCTTTGTAGTCTGACTTTCCATTTTGATATATTATAACAATGTGGTGCTACCCATTACCCTATTCCCTCTTTATACCCTTCTGACTAGTGTTCATGAGAACATTTTTCTTCATAATAACTATAGTAAACCTTGGGTTACCTAGACTCTGGTATGGGGGACAGTGCTACATAGCCTGCTTCTATATTCCTTCATTCTTGAAATTGTTCATTAGTCAGGTTTTTAAAGAAAAATATTTCAGAGATTTTTTATTAGAAGCTCAATATGAGAAGAAATCCTGAGTGAACTTTTCTGCAAATTCTAAAGCCACTTTTGTCATATTTATATATCTAGTTTTTAAACAGACATTTAAACTGTTTAAATACACATCTTAACATTTTAAGAAACAGCACCAATGTGAGACCACTAAATTAAAAAAAAACAAACAAAATAAGCATTTACCAGAATGGACTTTTGTTTTATGCTTCTTTAAATTTTTGATATCTGTATAAGAATTTCCACATAATTCACAGATAAATGGTCTTTCTCCTGAAAAACAATTTTAAAAGTTTAAAACTTCAATATTTAAAAGCTGTCAGCTAAGACACAAGTATCAGTGTTTATGAACACAAGGCAAATATTATATTATTTAAATTTGGTTTCAAATTACCACTTTAATAATTTTGTTATAATATAGTAACATGAAAAATTTTATGCATATAATCACTCCTTCTTTACTGTATACAAAGCATCCCTATTTAGGGAAAACTGAGCATTTTCATTAACAGAAATTTGTTTGCAAACTAAAAAAATAACTTATTCTTTTATTTCTATCAGATATAGAGTGAGTGTCAATTATATGCCAGACCCTGGCTAAGAGCTAGGGGGGGAAAAAGCATAACTATGGTTTTTGCTCTCAGGTACTTTACAAATTAGAAAATCCTCAAAAATAATTGACAGCATGTTACATTATTATAATTCTTTTTAAGTAAGAACTATTCAGTGCTTTATACTATAAACTAAGGAACATGAGAATATAGGCATTACCAATAAGTTTATTAAATCTCTACTAAGAAAAATAAACAAATAAATCTCTACTTAAGTACTTATACTATTCCAGGTAGGAATTACGAGAAGGAACTTTTAAAAAGAAAAAGTCAGAAGAGTACACTTTCAAAGTGGCATTTTCCTTTGTTTTTAACATTTTTTACATTCATTATTTTCTTCATACTTATACACTACTTTTTACAATAAACATGTCAGTATTAAAATTTACTCTTAAAACTTGCATAATAAACACTGTTTAATAAGAAAATCTGATGTTATTTTGGTATTACCTACTCCTTTTCATTTCTTGGTAAATCTGTGCAATTTAATCTGAATCATTTAAAAACTATTGATTATCTGGCATATTTCTTGGAAAATCTATACAATTCTTTACCAAATTTAATTCACACTCCAAATGATTAAAAAATAAGCAAGTAAGAAGTTGATATTTATACACTAAAATATTGCTATAGGTAAAGTATGATTAGATATCATATAGTCCAAAATGGTTTAAAAGTCAAGGTTTACATAAAAAGAAATTAAGAGAGAACAAAAAATAATACGTTCTCCCTAAACACAGACCTGTATGGGATCGAAAGTGTTTGTTGAGCTCTCCTGAGGAAATAAAACTTTTCCCACAAATACCACATATGTATGGTTTTTCACCTAGATGGAAAATAAAAGATAGCGAAGTGGTATACTATACCAATATAATATTTATCAGTTACAAATAATCTAAAGTAAGCTGTTCTCAAATACTATTTAAATTAAAACCTCTCTATATTGTATTTTAGAGGTATTTTCAGTGATTCAACTTAAATGAGTGAGTAATTATTTTATATTATTCATGTAACCTGATAATCTTCATATATTAAAACTTTATTCCTGCAAATGTCCCTCCTAGTAGAGATGAGCTGGGTAAGGAGTCAATGTTTATATGATTAAAAACATGTAAATTCATTAATCTATATTTCTATTCTTGCTATCTGAATTATTAAAGGAGAATAAGAGCATTTAGGGAAGATTCTTTTAAAAAATGTACCCTATAAAAAATGAGAATCTTTGACCAATACAGTTTGCTTCAAAATTAATATTTTGCATTTGAATTATCTGTTCTATTTGTAAATCTCAGAATGTTTGTGCAGGAAAGGCCCTAAGAAGTTATAAAATCAATGTTCTACCCAAACCCAACCCCTACCTCTTAACTTCGCTCCACAATTTTATCCAAAAGACATAAGCCTTCAAGAGGCTAAAAAAGCTTTCTAAAGTCATAAAACATGTCTCAAGTGTATATATTATTAAAATTATCTCACTGATTTTAATGTATAAGTTACATGATAAAAAAAATTTCACCCACCTTATATTATTCTAGAAGAGAAGCTTTCATATCTAACATGTATGTGAAGATCATAAAGCTTCAAGTACAAATATCTAACTATAAAATCTACAATATACTCTCTATAAAACACTAATTCCCTTTTTTATTTTATTTATACCGTTCCTTATTTTAAGCAGTTTCTCCCTATCAAAATCTTACCTGTATGTTTTCGAGAATGAGTGATAAGAGAACTAGAGACAGCAAATGCCTTCCCACACGTATCACACACGTAAGGTTTTTCTCCAGTATGCCTACGGACGTGATAGGTCAGGGTGCTGGCTTGGGCAAATCTCTGTCCACACCTATCACAGACATATGGCTTCTCTCCACTATGCTTCCTGTTAGTAAATAAAGTTAAGTAAGTAAAACAATTTGTAGGTCAATCTATATAGCAAGCATTTTTCATATCATTTTTCATATAGCATTTTACTTCATCTTAACAGGCTAAGATTATATATTTACAATCAATAGTTCTTTCAGTGTAAACACTGTCAAAATAAATGTTTTAGTTATTGTCAAAACATTAGTTCTGAGATCAGTCCAAAGAATTTTGCCATCATCTTTATAAGGTTGTCAGTGGGCCCCTAATAATGCAGGCAATTATTTTCACTAGTCTATTCACTCACTTGTCAAAGTTCTTTCCTCAAACCACCAAAGTTCTTTCCTCAAACCTCCTCCCCTACCCTCACTCTCCTCTGACATCCCTACTTCCTATTTCACTGAGAAAAATTTAAGTAATCAGAAGAAAATTTCTACCATTGCAACTCTCCACCTATAGCCATTTGTACCTATATAATTTGCTTTCCCTCTGGTGGTTAACTATAGCATGAAGGTGACAGTTCATCTGAATCTAACAACTCCCATTTGTATACTGGATAATCCTACTCAATGATTTCACTCCTACAATTTCCCCCATCCTACATCATCCATTTTTCTTACCCTATTGGATCACAGCAGCATACAAATATACTGATATGTCTCCATCTTAAAAAATAAAAAAAAGACCCTTAATCCCACTTGTTCCTCATTTCTCTGCTCCCCTTTATCAAAAACTTGAGATTCTAACTGTTCTCCCATTTCTTCTCTACTAGCTTCTGTTAACTTGCTTTTGTCAAGAGTACTGCTGACCTCCTACTTTGCTAAATTCAAATCAATTCTCAGTTTTCATTTCCATATCATAGAATTTTACATAGTTGTTCCCTCCCTTCTGGAATAATTTCCTTCACTTGGATTCCAGGACAGCCACTTTCCAAGTTTTCCTCCTATACCAGAAGCTCCTTTCTAGTCACCTCTGCTGGTTCTCACCCATCTCCCTGAACTTGTAAAGTTAAAGTGCTTCAAGACTCAAGTCTTTTTTTTTTTTTTTTGAGACAGAGTCTCGCTTTGTTGCCCAGGCTAGAGTGAGTGCCGTGGCGTCAGCCTAGCTCACAGCAACCTCAAACTCCTGGGCTCAAGTGATCCTTCTGCCTCAGCCTCCCGGGTAGCTGGGACTACAGGCATGCGCCACCATGCCCGGCTAATTTTTTTATATATATAAAAAAATTATATTTTTTTATATATCAGTTGGCCAATTAATTTCTTTCTATTATAGTAGAGACGGGGTCTCGCTCTTGCTCAGGCTGGTTTTGAAATCCTGACCTTGAGCAATCCGCCGCCTCGGCCTCCCAAGAGCTAGGATTACAGGCGTGAGCCACAGCGCCCGGCCAAGACTCAAGTCTTTTGATCTCTTTTCTATCCACATTCACTCTCCTGGTGACTTCATTCAGTGTCGTAGCTTTAAATACTATCCATATGCTGATGACTGCCAAATTTGTATCTTCAGCTTGAACCAGTCCCAGAACTCCAGACTATCTATTGCACATCTTTATTCAGAAGTATAATAGTCATCTCAAATTTAACATGTTCAGAGAACTGTACTCCTAAATTCTTACACTACCACTTAAACTGCTCTACCCACAAGACTTCTCCATCTCAGTTAATGGCAACTCAACTTTTAGGTACTCAGGCCCCAAACTTCACAATAATCTTTGACTCTTTCCTTCAGATCTCACAATCCGTCTGCAAATTCTGTTAGTTCTACCTTTAAAATATTGTATATCCAAAATACAATTACAAATGTCACTGCTATTACCCTAGCCTGAGCCATCATCACTCTTGCTTCGGTTTTATCTGTAGATTCCTGTTTACCCTGTTTCTACTTTTGCAACCCTACAGTCTTTTCCTATTATAGCAGCCAGAGTGATCCTCTTAAATACATTTTAGACCATTCTGATCTTATTTCTGGACTAGTCTGATCTTATTTCTGGGACTAGTCTGATCCTATTTTCTAGTAGTTTTCCCCATTTGCTTATTCTCCTCCAACCACCATGGTTTCCTTGTGGTCCCTTGAATGTGCTAAGAATACCGTATGGAAGAACCACAATTAGAACTCTGGCTATTCTGAATTCTAATATAGTAGTCTATTCATAAGACTATGGTTATTAACAGACTAAAAGATCAAACAACTCCTGTTTTTTGTTTTTTTTTACCTTTGCATGAATCTTGAGATTGCTAGAAGTTGCAAATTGTAAATTGCATACATCACATTTATAGGGTTTTTCCTCACCATGATGCATGCGACTATGGAAGACTAGCTGGCATTTCTGAGCAAATCCTTTATCACACAATTCACATTTGTATGGCTTCTCACCTAAAGGAACAAGTAAATAAAATTTATATTTAGAAGAAAATATTCTGTTTTAGTTGCTTAAGTAATTATCAGCATTCAAAAGAGTTCATCAACAGTACTAGTTTGGTATTCAGAAAATGTTAACTGCTGGAAGTAAAAGCAAATAGGATTTCTTTCCAGACTACTGAAAACACCAGTAGAAGTAAAATAAATTAGTGTTTAACTTGTAATAGTGAAAGATGATCAATGAGAGACATACATACTGCATCTTAAAAAGTACAAATCTAAGTGTACCAATGGATGCTCATACTTTACCACCAGAAAGAGGACATGCAAAATAAAGGTAAATGTTGAAGCTGAGGACACAATGTTTATGTGTAATTCTAATAAACATATTCATAAGTCAACAAAATCTATGAGGTATATAACAAGAAGTGTTGGCAATATCTGAAAATTGGCCTGAGGTGTAATTACTTTTTCTTTATCAGTTTTAGTATCTTTGTCTCTGTTAAGTATTTGGCAAGCTAGAACCAAATTTATGCTTACTTTGAGGGAAAATGGTATAAGGAGCTGATGCATTAGGACTTAAAGTATCAGTTATAATAAAACAAATGGCCATTAAATACTTGGTTACAAGTAAATTTTCAATAGTCTGTCCAGGCACGGTAGCACACGCCTGTAATCGCAGCACTTTGGGAGGACAAGGTGGGAGGATCACTTGAGGCCAGGCATTTAAGACCAGTCTGGGCAAGACAGCAAGGCCCCCAACTCTTTTTAAAAAGAAATTTTTTAAAAACCAAGGCATGGTGATGCATGCCTGTAGTCCCGGCTATTCTGTTGGCTGAGGTGGGAGGATCGCTTGAGCCCAGGGGTTCAAGGTTACAATGAGCTATGATTGTACCACTGCACTCCAGTCCAGCCTGGGTGACAGAGCAAAACCCTAAATTTGAACAGTCTAACATTGGTAAATACTTTTATGAATAGAATATATCAAATTTTGGTGACAAGTAGTATGTGATATGTTCTGTATAAAAAAATTTAGACACAGTATAAAAATAATTATATTGCCTCACAAACCAGTCTTACCTGTATGAGTTCTTACATGCGTTTTCAGCTGGTTACACTGGGTAAATGCCTTTCCACACAAGTGGCAGACATAAGGTTTGACTCCTTTATGTATTCTCATGTGCCTTCTCAAGCTGCTGGCTTCTGAAAACACTTTCCCACATGTGTTACACATTGGCTTGGCCTTGGAATACCTCTGATCCAGCTCTTTCCCAGAGTTCTCCAACTCATAAGGACTCTTGACACTGGCTATATTAGACATAGAGTGTTCTTTCAGAGCACAGTTTGGCTGTGATTTTCCTCGTTTCCGTTTCATTGTAACAGTTTGCACAATATCTTGTGCTGGAAAAGTATTTTCCATAACTGATGTCAATTCGAGTTCTGAATTATCATTTCTTTGTGTAACTTGTTCTACTATGGGTGCGGACAATTTATTTGTATCTAAGAATAATTCAACAGATGCATTCTCTAAAATGTCACTGGGATATTGCACTGTTTTATTCTGCCCTGTTTTCTGGGAGTTGAAAGACTTCTTTTTCTTTTTACTTTGAGATGACTTCTTTGCTAAAGCTCCTTGTTTAGGATTTGCCTGAACTAAATCTGTAGATACTTCTGATTTTTCCCGATTGTTGTAATCTCGTAGAGTAAGAAGACAAGTCTGTTGATTCAATTCAATGTTTCCAGTAATACTAGACAACTCTGTAGAAGAGGGATTAGCAATAAAAGCAAAATCTTCCATCTTTATTTTACATTTAGTGACCACCTCTTCCACTTTGAGATAGTCAGCAGCCTGATGAATTTCTTTAACATTCCAACTGTAAGGAAACAAGGCTAAATGACAATATTCTGATCAAAGAAAAACTGTTTTTGAAACAGAGATGCAATATACTTCAGTGTCTTTTAAAGACCTAATGAAGCAGAATGCTGAAAAAGGTGTAAGTAAGAGAAAAACATTTATATAATTAATTCATTCAGAATAATGTTCAGATAAAAATCTCCAATTTTACAGAACTTGAAAAGACGAAAAATAGCTATTCACAGGTGTCAATGAACCAGTACATAAAAATGAAATGTTAAGTTTTCTGGCTGTTTTTAAAAAAACCCTAGAACACAAAAATAGCTGCTGGCAACTCACTGCCTACTCCCATTCACCCTGAGGCCTCTTCAGATAGCAACCAACTTTTCTGGATTGGCAACAGGAAGAGTAATAAAACTTGTTTCCTACTATCTTCCCCTGCTCCCCTATGAGGGACTTTAAGTTTCTCAAACTTTACTATGCATGTGAATCACACAGGGAGCTGGTTAAATGTAGATGCAGATTCAGGAGGTCAGTGATGGGGCCTCAGATTCTGCATTTCTAGTAAACTCCCTGGTGATGCCAATGCTGCTGGGTTACAGTTAGGGTCACTTGGAGGAACACATTTTAGAATGTGTTAAGCTCTCTCTAGCAACCCTCCCACACCTTTTTTGGTGACACTCAACCCAAGTTAACTGGAGAGTTTGTCATTAGATTTATATAGAAAAGTAAATGCCACCATGTTCAACATTCTAGTCAAGGTTTACTGAGCATCTACCATGGGTAGTACTAAGGAGATATTTAAAAAATAGCAAAATGAAAAATAAAAAAAAATTAAAAAGGAACAACAAATAATCCCTGCCCTTCAGAAGCTTCCAATGTAGTGAAAGGTTTGTTTTAATCCAGCAGTGGCTCTGGCATTACTAGCTGAATTAATTGGGATAAGGCTGCACCTTTAGGGGCTTCAATTTTCTTGGCTGTATAATTAGAGAGTTTAGTTGGCATTAATACTAAAAATATGACCCTTTTAATTATGTGAGGATGGAAATGCATACACACACACCCTCCAGTAATGTTCCTATTTGCCATTTTCCCCAAATATTGTTTAGCTCTCTAGGAAGATGGTATCTTTTCCCTCTTTATTATAAGCCAGAAACATGTTTATATAGTGCTGGTAATACTGTTTTTTAAAAAGGACTAAATTAAAAACTAGTGTCAAGAATCTCTAGGATCTCTAGAAATCTACAAATTTCTATCCATGTTCTCATCATCTTCTAATTAAACCTGCTTTGACTCAAGTGCCACCTGTATGTTTCCTCTTATTTAATTTAGCATTACAATGGATTTTAAAAAATTGTCTTTTATTATAAACTTAATCATTTTCCAACTCATTATAGATTTATAGGCTAACATGAAAACCCTGACCACCAACTTGGAGAATATTTCATTCTCTGGGAAAATCCATCCCAAGTTCCTAAATATATTACAAATAAACTTTTGGTATATAATCTGAGTCTTTTCCCTAGATAAGAAAAGTTACCTAAGACATTCTTTTCTTACAGCTCTTGGCTGTAATTTTTAAACTATATAATGAATGATTTTTGTGATCGAGTTAATTCGCTATTTTGTAAAGAAACAGAACAAATTCCCCAAATATAAAAACAATCGTATCCACCTTTTATGCAAAATGTTTTATACGTATATACAGCATCATCACTCTCCAAAAACGTTACATTTCTTCTTATGCATTTTTATTGATTTTGTCACATAATCTATTATTAAAAAGTACAATAAATGAGTGACACTAGTAGAATGAAAATCAAATTTATTCTACCACTTATGTGTTACTGAAAAAGATCTTTTGGTCTCAAATTATAATTATGCTTCTTAGTGTTCCAGAAAATGAACCACCAAACAGATAACAAGGTCAGGTAGCCTTAAGACCAATATAAACTAGCATTAAGTGATACACTAATTATACAATATCAAAATAGTAATTCATATAAACTATGTATTTCATAGACAGCCTATAATTTCAGTCAGTTAAGAAAACCAATCAGCATTTATTTACTTCAATAATTGATCTGCTTTTGTTTGTAAGTATTAAGTAACAGTGTTTCTGAACTTGCTTTCATCTTTTTTTTTTTTTTGAGACAGAGTCTCACTTTGTTGCCCAGGCTAGAATGAGTGCCATGGCGTTAGCCTAGCTCACAGCAACCTCAAACTCCTGGACTCAAGCAATCCTTCTGCCTCAGCCTCCCGAGTAGCTGGGACTACAGGCATGTGCCCCCATGCCCGGCTAATTTTTTCTATATATATTAGTTGGCCAATTAATTTCTTTCTATATTTTTATAGTAGAGACGGGGTCTCGCTCTTGCTCAGGCTGGTTTCGAACTCCTGACCTCGAACAATCCAGAGCAATCCACTCGCCTCAGCCTCCTAGAGGGCTAGGATTACAGACGTGAGCCACTGAGCCCGGCCTTGCTTTCATCTTTTGAACAGCCAGGGAAGGTCATTTAATTACATATTGCCGGATATATGCCTAAATGGTTTATAAGATTACTTCATTTAATCCTCAAAACATGCCTGTGAAATCTATTATAATCCTCATTTTACATACAAATGAAAAATCAGAGATCCAAAGAAATTAAGTAACTTGTCCAAGATCACAGAGTATTAGAACCAAGGTAGTATGGCACCAGAGCCTACTTAATTCTATTATTCTGCCTGTTTTCTTAATCATAAGTTGTAAGCCTTTTTGTTTTGGTGTAAGTCCTCTCTTACATTTCTGAGTGGGCTCAAAGAATTAGCTCCCCAGCTCCGCAGGAAAGACATGTACCAGAAAAGACTGAACAAAACACCTGGCTCTTCTTTACCCTGGTTCTTTCCATGAAGGCTCAAAGTGCTCTGCCCTGTGTTCAAATCAATTTAAGGTTTTTCTCTGGTATAGTTAATTGAGAAAGGGAAACCCTTTAATTGAAAGTCAGCCAAAATTCACTGGTCTTGTTATTTTTTACTAAATATTCTAAATTTTAAGATCAGAGATGCTTGCATAGTTAACTTTAGCAAATTTAAATAATTTATCATGTGAGGTTAATCTATGACACTGTTCCTTTAATCAATTAACACAGAAGTGACTCACTTAAAGATTTCATTATACTAAAATTTAAAAATAATTCCAGAACAGCACGAAGGTTGCCTTTTCAAAAGGATTAAGTAGTACCCTGATTCTAGTTTTTTAAAGAAGTTTATTTCCATGATAAGCTACAATATAAAAGGGAGGGGAGGATTTTGCTTAATGTGTACATGCGTATCTCCATAGAGATCATCTGGAAAACAAAGAATGAAAATATATAAAAATATTAATAGTGGTTATCAGTGGGTGGCAGAATTTTAAGTGTTCCCATTTTTTGATTTTCCTAATTTTTCTCCAAGAAAAGTGGAATTAAAGGGAAGGGAGGGGAGAAAAAAGAAAACAAAGGAAGGAAATTAATGTCCACTGGGAGTTGGTTCTTTAAGTAAATCCGTATTTAATCTTCATAGTTAACACCAAAGTAGGTATTACCATCTCATTTTTAAATGGGGAAACTGAGGCCCAAAGAGGTTGCATCTTGCTCAAGGAGACATAGTGACTAACACACAAGATCTAATTCCAAAGCCTATAATCTTTCTATGTCACAAGATTATGAACAGTCTACTTGTACCCATATTTTCATAAGAGATGGAATTAAGAAGACAGGGGTAATCCTGATGAGTTTCTCTTTGCTTTTAACACCTCCACATTCACCCCACAATCAGTAAATATAATGCTATTAATTCATTAAGTGGGGAGACACACAGTGCCTGCATTCATTATCAGATTCATTAGAACCTACCTGCTGTTAATGCACTGACAGCAGTAAGCATTTTAGAGAAGAATTCTAGCATCTCCGACCTGACTTAAGCATTAATACAGTCAGTTAACAGAGATAACAGAAGGAGCCCCTGCCATGTTATGCTCCAACAAAGTTATTTTCCAGAATCTAGATCAAGAAGAAGTCCCACATGCTGCTGTTTTTGTTGGCAATGGGAGCACTATTATATGACCACAGAGGTTCTTCCTTCTTTCCCCATCTACTCTCCACTCCAAACACCTTAAGAGGTAAGGGATAGAGTGAGGGAGAGAAATCAGAGAAATATGAAAACCAAAAAGCAATGGGAAATTGGAATTCACTTAGAATTTGTTGTGTTTGAACTTAGAGTTTACATAACTAAAATCACAGGCTTTGTTTCAGTAGATAAATGTGTCAGAAATCCTACTAACATCTGTGCTTTTTGTGCTTATGAAATGTTGTCTGCTCATCCCAAATCAGTAATACTGACTTTTTTTTTTTTGAGACAGAGTTTTGCTTTGTTGCCCAGGCTAGAGTCAGTGCCATGGCGTCAGCCTAGCTCACAGCAACCTCAAACTCCTGGGCTCAAGCAATCCTGCTGCCTCAGCCTCCCAAGTAGGGGGTACTACAGGCATGCGCCACCATGCCCGGCTAATTTTTTCTATATATTAGCTGGCCAATTAATTTCTTTCTATTTATAGTAGAGACGGGGTCTCACTCTTGCTCAGGCTGGTTTCAAACTCCTCGAGCAATCCACCCACCTCGGCCTCCCAGAGTGCTAGGATTACAGGCATGAGGCACCGCGCCCCACCCTGACTTCTTTATTAAAACATTGTGTGGGTAAATATTTGAGGACTGAGTTCAGAAAATGGATGTTAAAAAACAAATCTACTTTAGCTCTAAAGACTTACTGACTAGCTTTTACAACTGAAAATAAAATGTGTACTTTACCTGTCAAGATTTAAAGTTCCTGTATATATAAACTCCAACAATTTCTGAAATCCATCAGCCTTCACCTGACTCTGATCAAGAAAGACATTGTTCTCAGAAGTGCTTCTGTAGATTGCACCAAAATACTCACTAAACGAGGCGAGCACATTCCTATGAGCTTTAAACTGGAATTCCCCAATCACTTTGGTGCAGTCACAAAGAAAACCTGCTTCCCGTTGTTTGTTCAGTCTCTCTAAAAGGTGTTCACAGTGGTGTGAATACTGCATTTTGATATCAGAATGGAATTTCACCCGAGATCTAAAAGACAAAAAGAAATAGTAAGTCAGTAACCGTACATTTTTATGAAACATTCACTCAAGCAATTGATGGGGGGAGAAGGGACAGAGGACATAACATGAAGTTAGCTCTCATTTTATCATTATCAAGCACATATGGTTAAAAATGTTGAAAGGCGATGCACGGTGGCTAACGCATGCATTCCTAGCACTCTGGGAGGCTGAGGCAGGCTGATCATTTGAGCTCAGGAGTTCAAGACTAGCCTGAGCAAGAGTCAGACCCCGTCTCTACCAAAAATTAGCTGGGCATAGTGGCACATGCCTCTAGTCCCAGCTACTCGGGAGGCTGAGGCAGAAGGATCGCTTGAACCCAGGAGTTTGAGGTTGCTGTGAGCTAGGCTGATGCCATGGCACTCTAGCCCAGGGAACAAAAGTGAGACTCTGTCTCAAAAAAAAAAAAAAAAAAAGTGCTGGAGGGGTATGTGACTGTTTTATCTTGACCAACTAACACAATTTTTTGGACACCTCAATAAATAAAGATGAATGAAAACACTTCCACTAGCTGAAAAAAGCACCACAAAATTTCACGCTTTTACATCAGTTGAGCTTTCAGACTTTCAAGCTCAGGAGACATATGCATGTCAAGAAAAAAAATTTAAAAGCCAGTAAGAAATGATCACTTGAGACAGATGGGGGGAGACACTGTAAGAGTTGTTTAAAATTGCTCTGAAATCACCAAAACCTGTTAGTTTCCCCAGTGCAGTTTCACTAAAACGCAAGGCGGGTGCCCAGGGGGCGGGGAATGCACCGAGCCTAGGACTGTCAAAGGTTCCATTACTCGCCACACTTTCTCCCCTCCCTCTCTCCACACGAGGCGGCGTCAGAGAGTGAAAACCAAAGCCGGTCCCGCCTCGGCTTCTGTTACCCAGCCCTCCACCCAGCTCCCACTCCCGCGAATTCCCACAGCAGAGGTTGTGACGAAGGCCACCACCCGGGCTGCCTCGCCCAAGCTTTCCACTTTCGCTCTGACCAGTGCTACAACTCCAAGGAGGCTGCCCTCCGATGGCCCAGGGCCTGGAAAGAGCGGAGATGGCAGGCTGGGGGTAAAGTCAGAACTCACCGATAGCAAACCAAGGGGGGAACACAGTTTCTTCACAGTCTCTCCGCCATCTTGGGAGGACGTCACCGCGCTTCGCTCCGCCTCTCCCTTCTTCCTCCACCGCGGCGTCACGTCCGGCTTTGTCATCCCGTAGCAACGCAGGAGGCTCTGGGGCCGTGGAGGTCCAACGCTGGCCAGGTTGGGACTGGCCGGCCCACAGAGACCGCACTTCCCCTCATGCTAGGGACTCCCCACCCCGGGACAGCAGGCATTATGGAAACGAGGTCTGAGGACTCGCTCACAGCGCTCAGCCTGTCCTCCTCGTTCTAAGCATTCCGGTGGGCCGACAGGCGTCGTCTCGCGGTCAGCCCGGATTCCAGGCCGAGGCCGGGCAGTGCCGCACAGCGATCGTGTCTCCTGGGGCCAGCTGCGCATTGCATGCTGGGGCTTGTAGTTGCTAGTCTTATCCCATCATCCTCCCCTTCCTCAGGGCCCCACCCGTGGGAACTGCTGCGTTGTGTACCCGCGCTCTCGGCCATTCGGGATTTTTGAGCTGAGACTGAGCACCCCTTTCCCGTTTACGTACCCGAAAGCGCTCGGGACCCTCTCGTTCTTGTTCGCACCAGCCAACTCTAGCTCAGTTTCCAGGATACCCTTACCTGGTGATAGAAGTCTGAGATGCACGAAAGCGAAGCCAAGCAGTTGGGCACGCTGGGCATGCGCAACGTTAGAGGAAGGTGGGCTTTATACCGGAAAAGGTTTTCCTGCGTCTGGACTAGACAAATTTTTATAAAATTATTTATATCGATTTCAGAATTTGAAGGATAAGATACCAGTTTTCTTTGTAATATACAAAAGTATCAGAAAAAATAAGTCGTGTTGGTATGTTAGAGTGGATTCTTCCCCAGTACCCGCGGACATTATAAACTCTCAGAAAACCAGAACTTCAACATTTTTTCTTGTTAAAAGTTGTGTGTCAGGACTGCAAGGAATCTTCCCTCGACTTTATTCATCTCTTCACTCCTTAACGTATTTTTCTCCTTGCTCTATTTATAAAGTCCTTTGTTCTCTAAGAATGGTTTTGAATAAAAACCATAGCCGTATTTTTATAAGGAAAAATTTGAGGCTATTTTTTTCTTGATTTCATCTTTCTGAGTATTATGTTCTTTCTGATTACATTTTTTTTGTAGGTGCCCTTTTCGATAATTAATTCAGAAATTTTTATGAACTTAGGTATCACGCATGACTGTGTAGAATAGGAATAAAATATGGTCTCCCGGAGTTTAGGGAAAAATGCAATCTCGAGGGGAAAACTACGAAAACCCAAGTGACATAAAAAGAATGTTCAAGAAGCGCCCATTCTTACACTGTGTTTGATATCCACTTTTAGTCTACATTATTTTTCAATATTAAGATTGTGAGTCGAATTCATTGTTTTAAACCTGGGGCACATCATTCGCATGTCAAGCCTTCAGTAAAATCCTTTGGTAAACGAATAAAGTAACATTCAAATTGAAAGCTCAAAAAATTCTGCAAGTTGCTATCACATCATGTCTTTGAGGGATCAGAATAATTTATAGTAATTATAGGTTAGAACACCAGTCCCAATCGAAAAAGGAAAGGTTGTTTCCGCGCGGTTTCGAACCGGGGACCTTTCGCGTGTTAGGCGAACGTGATAACCACTACACTACGGAAACCTTGTTGAGGGCAGTAGCTCTATAAACCCTTGATATGTATGTGATAGGCAGCTCGTAAGTATTTAAATCAAAGGGAATTAACGTAATTTTAAAGGTAAAACAAACAAAAACGGAAAAAATAACCATACGCTCAACTGAACAGTGCTGAAACTATTTCGAAACTTTGAATTTGCATGCACTTTCTTTCAAAGGTACCCTGGATACCTCTGCAGAAATCAGGCGTTGCCTTTGGGTACACTTTTTCTTTTCCAGGAATGAAGCGTTTTATAACGCATCTTTCCGCATCTCGCTCTCCTCACAGTCTGGGGACAGCTTGGGCCTTCCGCTGGCGCTGGCAGGCTGGCCGCACGCGGATCCCGAGTCCCGTAGCTTTCGTTCAGCCGGAGAGAAAGCGACTTCAGACTCGGGTGGAAGGACCTGTAAATTATTTTTGAATTTCCTCCCCGTGCTTCCGAAGACCAACCAGAGGTTCTAATTTGTGTGGTTTAAAAATCTTCCACAAAGTGTGCAAGATCAGACACCAAGATGCATTTTTTTCTTTTACATGAATCTACTTAAATTTTTCTGTTTAAGAATTTCCTATGACCTTAGAAACTTCACTTTTTCGGCAAAGAGGCAGCCTCCGTATTCCTGAAAATCCAGACTAGAGAATGAGAATTAGCTTCTAGATTACACCACAGGGATATAATCCGACATTTTTTTTTAAATGTTCTACCATTTTATTAATAATTGTATGGATTTTGTTTAGAAACCGCTGGAAGGAAACACAACAAAGCATTGCTCAGGATACAGAAGGAATATTAAACGCTCCTGAAACTCATTTTTAATCCCAACATTTTCTTTCTCCTTTTAGAAGTTGAGCGTTTCAGAAGCAAGGATACTGCCTCCTCCTGCTACAACTTTCCCGTTCAATCTCCTCCTTTCCCATTTTCATGGGCGCATTCCAGAGCTCCCTGGAGCCAGCACTTGCTAACCAAACTTAAGCGGCTTTGGAAAATAAAACTCTTTGTGGCTCTTCAGAATGTTCGAGAAATGCCCTGGTGAAGGGTTCGGTTTGTATCTTTTGGTAGGAAAGCCGAGTTTTCCCCGATATTAGCTTTCCGCCAGTCAGGGTGGGGGTGGCCCAGCCCCTAGGAGAAGCAGCGGCGGGCGGCACTACGGGGCTCACCGGGCGTCCAGAGAGCCCAGGGGCCCGGGGCTCTCCCGCCGCCGCCGGCCCGAGCCAGCCGGGCGCAGGCCTCACCGGGCCGGGGCCTCTGTGACGCGGCATTCCAGGCTGTAGGCCCTGGCAGAGCCTGCCGTCGGGGCCGCCCGGCGACAGGAGGCGGCGGCGCCAGCGGCGGCATGAGCTTCCACCAGCTACCGGTGGTGATCGACAACGGCTCGGGAATGATCAAAGCGGGCCTGGCTGGGAGCCGGGAGCCCCAGTTTGTCTCCCCAAACATTATGGGCCGCACCAAGGGCCACGGCTGGGCGGCCGAAGGCGAGCAGGAGCTGTACGTGGGGGACCAGGCGCAGGCCAGGAGAAGCTCGCTGTCCGTCAGGTACCGCCTTCCCGCGGCGGCTGTGCGGGCGTGCGGCCGGGGAGGAGGAGCCCGAGGAGGGGAGCGGGCGTGACAGGGTTGAATAAGGAAGCCAGGAGAGGGAAGGGCTCCGCCGGTTGGCGTGGTTGCAAGTTCGCGGGCCACAAACCTCCTAGAGTACCAAACATCTTAAGGACTGAACACTACTGTTCTCTGTGTCTAAACAAATGTATTCAAACGTATAAATAAAGTTATCGTTCATAATATATGAATTCATTTAAGAATATTACTTAATTCATAATCCCTTTTGTCATTTGGGTTATTCTCTTCAGTTAATTGATATTAAACTTGTACTGTAATGTAGGGATTTCCCAATTTTTTAAAGTCATAAACAGTCTTCCAAAAGGAGGAGGAATGGAATGCAGCAAAAATTGCAGAGGAAGGTGGCTGTGCTAATTTTTGTTGACAGTTACCTTCTCTGAGAGGCTGTGGCAGTTATTGCCCATAAGGGGTAGTGGTAACAAATACGGGGATTAACCGTGGTTTGAAGAGAATAGGAACTAGAAAGATAAAAAGTTGTCCTTTATCTTATTGCTCTCCTTACAGCTACCCAGTGGAGCGTGGTCTCATTACTTCCTGGGGGGACGTGGAGATCATGTGGAAGTATATCTATGACTATAACCTGAAGCTAAAGGCATCTGATGGCCCCGTCTTGATTACCGAGCCAGCACTGAACCCACTGGCCAACCGGCAACGGACCACTGAAGTGTTCTTTGAGCATCTGGGTGTTCCCGCCTTCTATATGTCCATCCAGGCTGTGTTGGCTCTCTTTTCTGCTGGCTTCACTACTGGCCTTGTGCTGAATTCGGGTGCCGGCATTACTCAGTGTGTGCCCATCTTTGAAGGGTACTGTCTGCCTCATGGTGTCCAGCAACTAGATCTGGCAGGCCTTGACCTCACCAGCTATCTCACTATACTGTTGAAGAACCATGGTGTCATGCTGCTTAGTGCTGCAGACAGAAAGACTGTTAAAGACATTAAGGAGTCCTCTTGCTATGTGGCAATGAACTATGAAGAGGAAATGGCCAAGAAGCATGACTTGACAGAGAAAATTTACAGACTACCTGATGGGAAGATTTTCAAGCTCCGTGATGAGCTCTTTACTTGTCCAGAGGCCCTCTTCTCCCCCTGTCTCATGAGCCTTGAGGCCCCTGGCATTGATAAGATGTGCTTCAGCAGCATAATGAAATGTGATACAGATCTGAGGAATTCCTTCTTCTCCAATATTCTTCTTGCTGGGGGATCAACCTGTTTTCCTGGTTTTGACAAGCGGCTAGTTAAAGATATAGCAAAGGTGGCTCCTGCCAACACCCCAGTACAGGTTACAGCTCCCCCAGAAAGGAAAATATCAGTGTGGATGGGAGGTTCTATTCTTGCATCCCTGTCTGCCTTCCAGGACATGTGGATCACTGCTGCAGAATTTAAAGAAGTTGGACCCAACATAGTACACCAAAGATGCTTCTGAAATACAGATGAAATGGTTAGAAGAAAATGTTTTGCATATTTGCATATATGTGACAGAAAAATTTGGATATTATATGTTTCTGGGAGAACAGAAAATACTTCAATTATTGGGATGTGCATGTCTTTGTTGCTTTTCTATAATGGGGGGGATAATAATGGTGAAGCAGTCAAACAACAGATGTTTATTGAGTAGAACCAAGTTAAATATTTTAACCAAGTTAAAATAGTGTTTCCTATATTGTATCTTCTGAAGTTGACCTTGGGAGCTTACATTTCCCTTGGAGAGAGCACATAGTGGTATGTATACTGTGTGCCAAATGAGTGATCAGATTTAAGCTTGTTGAAGTTTAGGGAAAGAAGGTTGCTGTCACGAGGAAAGACTTCATAGCAGAGGTATGTCATCATGGATGGGGTGGTATTGAGATTGGTAGGGGAGGGCAGACATCCAAGCAATCATAATAAAATGAGCAAAGGGCTAGAGATGAGAATGAACAAAGCATATTCAAGGCATGTTTAGTATAGACTGATTTTGTTTAAGTGAAGAGCTCATATGGAGAAGAGCAAGAGCTATGAGAGGCCAGGAACTGAAAGGCTTTAAGTGCTAAATGTCCTATTGGCAAAGGGGAGCAATTAAAGATTTAAAAACAAGAGACATAAGGAAATTATATTGTGATAAATGTGGTGGTTTGAGAATAAATTGAACTGGGAAGGCCCTGGAAACTCAGTGATCAATTAGAAAGTTAGTAGTCCAGACATAAAATAGTCAAGTCTGATACTCAAGATTATAAGCAATAGGAATTTAAAAGAAGAAATTATGAAAAATTGACAAGACTTCGTGCCTAATTAGATAGACAGAAAGGGGAAGGAAGGGTCTGAGGTGATGTGGGAAGCTGAAAGCATGGTGGTAGCATTGACATATAACATATTCAGTATCTACTGTATGTAACGTGTACTAAGTGCTAAGGAGTCAGATCCTGCTCTTAAAAACCTGGCAGTCTAGTAGAAGAGGTGGAATTCATACCTAAATTACAATAATATAAGGTAGAATATAAGAGTGTCTTAAGAGAAGTATAAAATGCTCTGGGGTCCATAGCAGGCTCCAATGCCAGTTGAAAGCACAAGGAAGATTTTTGGTAGATGTGGCTAGAATTTAAACCTAATGGAATACCTTTCTCTCAGAATTTAGAGGGCAACATATATGGGTTCAGGTCCAAACCCTGCCACCTGCCGGCTGCATGACTTAGGCAAGTTGTTTAAACATTTTGAAGATAAATTTCCTCATCCAGAAAATGGGGTTGCTGATCACTGTCTCACAGGGTCATTATGAAGTTCAATGAGACAATGTACTTAAAGGCACTTTCAAAAATATGTTATTTTTGCTTATAGAATTAGAGAATTTACAGGTCCAATTCAGATACTACTTCCTCCAAGGCATCAAAATTGTTCCTTTGTGTTTCAGCGCATTCTATAGCTTGTACTTCTATTGACCACTTAATTTATGCAGCATTATTTTTTGATTTGCTTGTCTTTCTCCCTCATTAGATATGCTCTTAGAAGACAGGGATTGTGGGCTTTTCCTTTTCATTTCTGCCCCCTTCTCGGATGCCTTCCATGGTACATTTCAAGTAGGTATATAGATATATAGAATTGAGCAGAAGCACATTGCTAGCAAAGAGAACTGATTTCATTCCTTGGCAAGGAGTCTCCCATTTTAGTGATTATAAGACTAGGTTGAGTAAGGTATAGAAATTATCTGAGGGCAGTTTGAACAGTTGATGCTCGCACTCACTAGTTTCATAAGCATTGTAGAGAGAATGATCCCAACTCCTCATTTTAGAATTCATAAAGCATTTTTTAAAATGATAATAGGGTTAGCTATACGTTATCCAATTTAAACTTCAACATCCCAGAGAAATAGGCAATATAGGTATTATTCCCATTTACAGATTAAGAAATAGAGATTTAAAGAATTTAACAGATTTAAGTTTTAAAGTGATCCCAAAGTAGCTTGCTCATAGTAGGGCACACAGTCCTTGACCATAGTCTCTTAGGCCAGCAATCCCCAGCTTTCTTAGCACCAGGGACTGGTTTTATAGAAGACCATTTTTCCACCATCGATGGGGGTGGGGAGTTGCAGAGGTCTGCGGCTGGTCCCCAACAGTCCTGAGGACGGGAACTGGTTTATGGCCATGAGGTTGGGGACTGCAGTCTTAGGCAGTTAACCCAGCAACTGTCCTGGAATGTCTTGAACACACGGGATCATAGATGATCCTTTTCAAGTAATCTAGGGAAAGGGAATAAGATGTTGTAAAAATTCTGTTTAGTTATATTTCCCTGCCCTTAGAATGGTCCTAAACCAACCCGTGTTAACATTTCACTTTTCTTCTCACAGATGGAGGACCAATAGCGATTACTGCACGTTTACCCAACTGAACACGAGTAAAACTTTTAAGATCAGCCTCCTGGTTACATGGAAAACCGCATTATTCTGGCCATTATAAAAATCTGCTACAATTTATGGTGGAATGTTCCTCTCTTTTTACCTACTCACGACACAGCACTATTTTAAAGCAAAGTCGATTGAAAAACCTTTCTTTCCTAATAAAAGGGAGTCAGTCCTTAATGTTAAGTGTCAATGGGAAAAGAAAAGCCAAACTCTGTAAAATAATTTTAAAGATTTACTCTGAGCCAAATTTGAGGACCATGACCCAGAACCAAGATCAAGAAGCCTTGAGCAAGTGGACTCAGTGTGGCTGGGTTACAATTTGGTTTTATACATTTCAGGGAGACAGGGGTTATGGGTAAAGTTATAAATGAATACGTGGGAAGCATACATTGGTTTGCCCTGAAAAGGTGGGCCATCTCAAAGGGGGGAGAGAATGCTTACAGGTTATAGATTAGTTTAAAAGTTCTTTGACTTGTAATTGGTTAAAGACATGAAACTTTGTCCAGAGGCTTCAAGTTTTAAGATAAGAAGCTGTTTATCACCGAGAAGCCACAGGACATATATTTGTTGTGTAAATTGAGGACATGCAGCTTTGTTTAGCATACCCATAGGCCAGTTAATGGGTTACAAAGGATGTCACCAAGAAGGGGGGTGGGGCATGATGAGGCATATCCAACCTCCCTCCTCTTGGCAGGCAATTTAGGTTTAGGATATTTCTTTGGCCATGAGCGGTCCATTCAGTCAGCCAGTAGGGGGGTGAGCCTTAAGATTTTATTTTAGTTCACATAATTTTAAGAATGAAGTTGTTACACTTAATAAAACCCATCCTCTGTCCAAGAAGAGGCTGAAGAAAAGGCATTCTAAGGAGAAGGGAACAGTCTGCTGAGCCCATAGGAGATCCTGGGTTAGTGCGGCCTGTGAATCTATTTGCGTAAAGTTCTCCAACAAATGTGATGATCCGAATTGGGAAACACTGTTCTGTGTCCTCAGAACAGTGTATTTTTTTGTATTTTCTGTGAATGCCCTTTTAAGGTAGTAGATAAACCACATCTGGTTTCTAGGGCATAGAAAAAGGCCCTCGGGAAGCATCTAAACTTTGTCTCACCTTCAAAACACGTAGCAATGAAGAACTAAGCGGAGAAACGTACAAAAGCATTGAGAGTTTTCCGCGCCATGGGGGAAGGGCGTCATTCGAACTCCAGGCAGGAAATGGAACTTAATTTTTTTTTTTCCCCCCCTGGCGAGACCGACTCTCGCGAGAGCTGTGGCGATGATCCGGGCCAACCCGCGCGGGCGGCGGCTGCGCCCTTTATAAGGAGATGCGGAACGCCGAGCCGCGGGTTGCGGAGGGTGGGCCCGGGAGGGGTGTCGGCCATTAGTGCCTAACCCTAACTGAGAAGGGCGTAGGCGCCGTGCTTTTGCTTCCCGCGCGCTGTTTTTCTCGCTGACTTTCAGCGGGCGGAAAAGCCTTGGCCTACTGCCGTCCACAGTCTAGTTTGGAGCAAACAAAAAATGTCAGCGCTGGCCGGTTCACCCCTCCCGGGACCTGCGGTGGCTCGCCCGCCCTGCCCCGAGCCCTGCCTAAAGGCCGCGGTCGACCTGGGGCTTCTCCGGAGGTGCCCAATGTCGCCGCGAAGAGTTGGGCTCTGTCAGCCGCGGGTCCTTCGGGTGCCAAGGGCGAGGCTCAGGCCTGCTGGCCGCAGGAAAGTAACGGAGCGGGTCCCTTCACGCGGTGCGCTTCCCTGAGCAGTGGGACTTGCGCCCGGGACTCAGCTCCTACATACATCTTGCTGGGGGTGTTGCAGGGGTCCTGCAGCCTGCTTTCCCACTGGAAGGGGGATGCCGATTTTGCGCGTCGGTGACCCTTCGCCATCCGTGGTGGTTGTGTGGACCCTCAAACCTGGTAGATTGGGTTAGGGTGCGTGCAGATTGGCAGGAGACTTGAAGGCGCCTCCATAGTTGGCCCAAATCAATGGGCATTGAGCCGGGGTTGCCAGCCAGATGTTCCTGTGTAGATTTGTTTTCCTCTTCCACTCCCATCTTGCGTTGCCCTTTGTCGTCGTTTTACAGCTTGCCTCTCCCAAAGTTGGTCTCAACCAGTCCCCTCAATTGGGTGCAGGAGAGCACTGATTTTTTGTGAGAGCATTAAAAATTTAATAAGTATTTAACTAGAAGACATAGTTCTCTAGAAGAAAACTATTTTTAATGGTCGTTGCTTTTCTTTCTTTTTTTTAGAGACAGTCTTGCTCCGTCGCCCTGGGCTACCTACCGAGCAGTGGCTGATCCAAGGTCCCTGCAGCCTCAAACTACAGAGCTCAAGTGATCCTCCTGGCTCAGCTTCCCAAGTAGCTGGGACTAAAAGTGTGTGCCACTATGCCGCCTAATTTTTTTTTTTTTTAATGTATTGTAGAGATATCCACTCACTTTGTTGCCCAGGCTGTTCTGGAACTACTGGCTTTAAGCGAGCCTCCCACTCTGACCTCCGGAAGTCTTGGGATTACAAACCTGAGCGGCCCAGTTGTTTTTTTGTCTTTGCCTCGCCTTTAGATGCAAAGTAATAAGTAGTGTAAGATGGAAAAGAAGTTTACAAAGGAATATGTGTCCCTGCCCCCAGAATTGGGTCTGGTTTCCTTTAAGAAAGGAAGCTGATGGCTCACTAAGTTAAAAGAAACAAAGGACAAAACAGGCCTTGGTCCACTCATCCCGAATAGGAAAATGTAATTTCAGTCTTTTGTGTGGATTCATCCCAAGTCTGCACCCTGGCTTCTTTAGGACTGCTATTCTGGGGTCAGTTGCCAGGAGAGATAGCAGCCCAGGGGCCTGCATATAAAGGCAGACCATTAGGGTGATACTCAGCCTAAAACCTGTTTATTGAAAGGGTCAATAAATTTATGAATGTGTATGTTTGTAGCATCTCAGCCTATTACCTGAAGTGGGTTTCTTGGAGTTGTGTAACAAATACATTTCTTAGCACTATTAGAGTTATAAATGTGAAAAAACTGTGGTTGCTGGTAACATTCTTTAAGAAGGAAAAACAATTTTGTGGAAAGAACACAAGGTAAGTAAAAAAGGAAGTTCTAGTTCTGATTTTGCCAATGACTTCTAGATTTTTTTTTTTTTTTTTTTTTATGAGACAGAGTCTCACTGCTGCCCGGGCTATATAGTGCCATGGCATTAGCCTAGCTCACAGCAACCTCAAACTCCTGGGCTCAAGCAATCCTTCTGCCTCAGCCTCCTGAGTAGCTGGGACTACAGGCATGTGCCACCATGCCCAGCTAATTTTTTCTATGTATTTTTAGTTGTCCAATTAATTTCTTTCTATTTTTAGTAGAGATGGGGGCTCTCGCTCTTGCTCAGGCTGGTTTCGAACTCCTGATCTTGAATGACCTTCCTGCCTCGGCCTCCCAAAATGCTAGGATTACAGGCCTGAGCCACCACGCCTAGCTGATGTCTCTAGATTCTTGAGGAAGTAACTCAGTTTCACTAAGCCTCCATTACTCAAAAGGTGATCTTTAAGATCCTTTTTGAAGACTGCCAGGGTTCCTTCAACTACAGATAAATACATGTCTGTTGTTCCTGCTCCATCTAGTGGTACTTTTGCTTCTCCACATTTGCAAAATTTGTGGTAGTACAAGAATGACTGGGAATGCTTTTCTCTCTCATTATTAAAAAGAAAATGATGACTTAATAAATTCAATTTAAAAAGAAGTCCACAGTTGTTGTCTAGCTCTTATATATGAAGTCCTCCCTGTGATTAATGTCTATTATAAACAGTCCAATGGACAATTTTTTTAGTATTATAAACATTTGATATATTTTTTGTTTTTGATAGAATGATTCCATTCTTTGAGTTATATAATTCTAGAGTAAGAAGGGGCCATTGAGATTATACAATGAGATAATTTATGTGAAAACCTTTTGTAGATAGTAAATAATTATGGCAAAAAATGACTTCTTACTGCCATAAAATTTAAATGACTCAAGCAACTGATGTTTAGAGGGTTAATTTTTTGCAGAGTTGGGACAAGAAACCAGGCCTCCCAACTTTCAGTCCAGTGTTCTATTCACTATGTTGCACCTTAGGCTTTGTTGGTTATTCTGGGAAAGATGGTTTACATTAACTCCACCATCACTTTTTGGTTTAAAATAAAATAACATCCTTAATGGCCATTTGTCTTTGACCTTGGTTTCCACCCTGAATCTGCCTCCTTTTCTAACATTCTTTGATGTGATTTTGTGATGTGTGTATGTGATTCACTATTTTACAAGTACAGTTATTTCTAGTTATTTGCAGTAGTTATGTTCTCTGTGGGCCAGGCATAGTGGGTCACACCTCTAATTCTAGCTCTCTGAGAGGCCATGGTGGGAGGATCACTTGAGCTCAGGAGTTTGAGACCAGCCTGAGCAAGAGTGAGACCCCGTCTCTGCAAAAAATAGAAAAATTAGCCGGGCATCATGGCGTGCACCTGTAGTCCCAGATACTGTGGAGGCTGAGGCAGGATGGTTGCCTGAGCCCAGGAGGTTGCAGTGAGCTAGGATGACACCACTGCACTCTATTCAGGGTGACACCGGAGTGAGACTTTGGCTTAAAAAAAGAAAAAAAAGGAATTGAACCTCATTTTCCCCTTTAGTAATAAAAAAATGTAAATATGTTTATATATATGTGTATAAAGTATATAAAGTCTTTGTGAACACTGAATTAGTGAATTACTGAACCATTGCTTCTAGAGGAAGTACAGGATTAGTTCTTGGGAAACTTTGGTCATGTTTTTGTCAACTGATCAATACATAATTTTGTTTTATGTGTGTTTTTATTTAAAGACACCTTATTTAATGTATACTGTTGATTCATTAGCATTGTACTTATGTCCAACAGTACTATAACTTAAGGCTGAAAGAAGCTTAGCTAACACAGGTGTTTTTTCTATAGGGTACTTCATAGACCTCTTGTACTTAGGGGTCATATAAACAGCAAAATCACCAAAAATACAAAAATCTGAAAAACATGCCATTAAATAGACCGCAAATAGGACACATGTTTATAGCTGAGAACCTGCATGTTGGGTGAATCA